TACCAATCTTTCGTTTTGGTTATGTGTCCTTGTTTGATTTTGGGGGTTTGGTTCTTTTTTCGTATGAACTTCTGGTTCTTCATTATGAGTCTTTTTTCTTTGTGTGTTTGGTGGGCCTCACCGGTTGTATGGATGTCCAGTGACATTAGGTGAATTTACTCGTTCTCTTGCTTTGCTACTTCGTTCCATCTAGACATTGTTTATAATGATGTAGTAGATTATTATATTGTGGTGAAATTTCTTAATTGCTGGCATGATTCTATATAATTTACTAGGGGGCTTAAAAATGCCTCATTTAAACTTTCTGTTTGCAAAAAATGCCTTCTTTGGCAGTAATGAGTAGATATTGGTCATCATTTTGGTTGTGAGATACAAAGGTGGGTTATTTGCATACACAAAGGCAAAAGGTGGCATTTTTTTTGCATCTCTCTCTATTTTTTAATTTCCTATTAATGCTGTATGCTATTTGGGCATTAGTTAGTAATACCACTGTATTGATTTATTATCATTGATTAGTGGTATGAGGCAGGTCGGAGAAAACGAGCTTTTTTTTTTCTGCTTTTCAAGTCAAATTTTATTTTTTCCTGTTGCTTATCAGGGAGCAGATGAATTTACTTACTTTTTTATTATACTCCCCGTGTGAGTTCAACTTTGGCATTGAACAGCTAATGTTTGTTGACCAACTCTGACGACATTTCTTCAGGTTAAGTATGGTGATTCACTTAGGCGCTTCAGTGCCCAGATTGTTGGGGATGAACTTAATTTCACTATGGATGGATTGAAAAAGAAGATCCTTTCCCTCTTTAGCTTTGACGCGAATGCCGAGTTGATGCTTACCTATGTTGATGAAGATGGTGATATAGTGACCCTTGCCGATGATGAGGATCTTCGTGATGTGGTGAAACAGGATTTGAACCCATTGAGAATTACTGTTAAAGTGAATTCAAGTTCGAGTTCGACTCCCTTGTGGTCGCCTCGCATTCAGCAGCCACAGCAAGATCCAAACAGTCGTATCTCTGAAGTTCTTAGAACACTACCAGGGCCGCTGAAGGAAACACTCGTGAAAGTATCGGCTGATTTGGCTTCCAAAGCATCATCCACTAATCTTGTCCAACAACCACTGCAAAATCTGAACACTGGTGTGTCTCAAATTCTGAACACTGTACCAGAGCCTCTACGTGAGACTCTCCTGAAGCTTTCATCTGATCTAGCTTCCAAAGCATCATCCTCGGCTCCTGGTAGTAGTATTATGGAGCTTGTCGATCACTTCTCAAATTTGGGTCTGTCTTACATGGATCAGCTTTCACAGGCTGCCCAACCTGGAGGCAATTCCTCTATCGTTGAGGGTGGTATTTCTAAAAGTGGCACAGCAGCAGAAGAAAATAGGGAGTCGGGCATCTCAGCCACACCGAAAGATGTATCAGGTGTGAGCTCAGACAAAGAGAGCTTGGAAAAAATAAACCCTGAGGATGAGGTAAACGTTTACAACGTAACTGGAGGATCTGTTGATCAGTCATCTGAGAATATCAATGTTGCCCATCCTGGCAATGCTTCTTCGCCAAAATCAGGGAAGCCGGCCGTTACCTCGCATAGTTCGAGAAAGAAAGAATTGTTGGTCAAAAAGACCATTTTGAACAAAATAAATGGAAAGTCTCATTTCCTCAATCGGCAGTCGCCTCATGAAAATAATATTGGGAAAACAGCATGTCCTGTCAGGCCCTCTGACTTGCCACCTGTTGCAAATCCTTTCGGTATCACGGAGGTCACCGGTAACCTGGGTGAGACTAAAGTGGAACCAAAACCTGCTAGTGTCGTTGCTGCTGAATCTACAAAGGGAGACTGCATTGATAACAGAATGAAATCTGATGTTTTAAAGAGAACTTCAGGCCCATTTTCTACTGCTAGTCCTGGCCGTTATATCCCGGGCATATATTCTGGTTCTATTCCCACATATCAGTGCCCATTTTCTGGACTGGTTATGGGGAGTCAGACGCCTGCTTCACAATCTGCTACTGAAATGGGTCCCTTGGGGTGGAATGTTAGTCAGAATGATTGCAGTGAGAATATCTTCCATCGTGGGATTTGTTGTGATGGATGTGGGGTCCACCCCATAACTGGCCCTCGGTTCAAGTCAAAAGTGTAAGTCCTAATAGAGCTAGTTGACTATAGCCCAGTATATTGGTAAGGTGGAAGTGGAACTGGATCTCTTAATTTACTTGTGATGAATTTTGTTGAAAGATGGAGTAAAACAGATAAATGCGTGTGTGGTTCACCTCTGTATAGTTGACTATGCATGTGTGGCTTTTGATTCCTATGTACAGATGTGGCTGTCTTAACAAGGAATTCACAAAAATAAATTTTTAAGATTGCTTTTCCTTATAGAATTTTACCAATGATTTTAATTTCATTTTTGTCCTTGCAGAAAGGTGGACTATGATCTTTGCAGCATCTGCTTTGAAGAAATCGGAAACATAAATGATTATATCAGAATGGACCGCCCAGCAGTTTACCGACCCCATCCCCATGTCCCCTTTAGTGGGCTGCATGATGTATGTGTATAGACCTATGGATAATTCTTTTTTTTGTTTCATGTCAGCTCGAATAGAGCATAGGGTATTATTCTTCATTTGGCTATGATACGTCCCACTCATATTTTTGTTCCAATATCAGCGACGCAGGCAGCAACAGGTTCTCAGGAGCTTTAATGTCAAACCAGTAACAACAAAGCCAGACAGCCTCTTCATTCGGGATGTGAACATATTTGATGGTACTGTTATGGCACCTTCAACTCCATTCACCAAAATATGGCGGATGAGGAATAATGGGACTATTGCATGGCCAAAGAAAACACAACTTGTCTGGATAGGTGGAGATAAGATGAGCAATGACCTCGCTGTGGAAGTACAAGTGAGTGAATCTGTCCATATAGACATCATTTTCATTCTTTTTTTTTTTTTGGTGCAATTAGAATCTTGTTAGGTTTCAATTGGTAGGACAATTTTGGCCTTCCTGAAGTTCTCGTGCTCCCTTCATGAATGTGGATTTGACCCGTGCATGCTACCCACCCTTTTCTTATTTTTTGATTTCTATTTTATTCTATTTTGTCGCGCTGTTTTTCAAAGGGATGATACATGGTGACTGGATTTTTTTTTATATGTTTTTTTTGCAGATTCCTGCAACTGGTTTGAGGGTAGATGAGGAGCTTGATGTTGCGGTTGATTTCATTTCCCCCGAGACTCGTGGCCGTTATGTTTCTTACTGGAGAATGGCACTACCATCGGGCCAAAAGTTTGGGCAGCGGTTTTGGGTTGCCATTCTGGTTAGTCACCTTTTTTCAATTCATTCCATTGTTTATCTTCTCAATATACCTCTCAACAGCCTCTTCACCGGGTATATGCTCTAATTTGTTCATTTGTCTTTATTTTCCAGGTTGATACTTCGCTTGAAGAGTCCCCACGTGAAAGTGTTCGGGACCTGAATCTGAACCTGCCCCCTGTGAGCTCCTCATTTACTGGGCCTGAAATTATCAACATCGAGCCTGAACCGATGGTTGAGGACAGCTCTTATGGGGCCTCCTACAAATCGAAGAAGTCTGAGAAATTACCAGTGCCGCCAAATGCAGATCAAGAGCTGAAATTCCCTATAAACGACAACTTGTTGGTTGGGGACAGTGCTGCTTCATCAAGTACTCGTCCATCTGAGCAAGTTTCGTACCCTATCATTGACATCTCTGATATTGCTCCACCTGTCACCTCTGTACCGGCCCCTACCACCACATTCTTTTCGCAAAACCCATTTGGAAGTATTCCAGCTGTTGGCAGTGCACAGGAGACTGAGGTTGAGCTCCCTGGAAAGATGGAGATGGAGGAGAAGCTTCTCAAGGAAATGGAGGAGATGGGATTTAAGGAGGTTGATTTGAATAAGAGGATGCTGAGGAGGAATGAGTATGATTTGGAGCAAGCTGTGGATGATCTCTGTGGTTATACTGACTGGGATCCTATTCTTGAGGAGCTACAGGAGATGGTGAGTTTTTCAATAGTTACAAGTATACCCAAAGAGAGAGAGAAAATTGGTTGTAAATTTTTTCTTTTCAGATTATTTTTTTCTTTTATCAAAATTGCAAATTTCACTCCACTTTTCTCTCTTTAGTTTTATCAACATATTTTTCTTAAAAAAATAAAAACCAGTCATTATGACACAATTTAATATAAATTTAATTATTCATCAACTCAAGTTTCTCATTACCACTCATTATTGTATTTTTTACATCATATATCTACTATAATCATGACAGTTCTATATCAATCACACTTTTCAAATGACTCATTTTCTGGCCCAAAACTGTTCTCTTTTCTCTAGTGTGTGTATATATATGTATATTTTTTTTTTTTTCAACATAAAATCACACCTAGGATAAGACTTCGAGTTAGTATATGCATCTATCTCCGCGTGCTATTGCTTGTGAAATCATTTAGTTAGTATATTGTTTGCAGAATTTTCGTCTTTTGATCCTCGAATTACATTCAATCGTAGATTTAATGATATAGTATCACTTCACTATCTGTAACACACATTCATATGTTACATATTTTATACCTTTACTGCTTCCTCTAGAAATTCAATTGCCATTATGAAAACTATTACATGAACCTGCTTTTGTTGTGTTGAAGTCGTGTTATCGCATTTCAGAAATCAATTTGTGATTTACCGAACAGAAGTCTTGGCTTTATGGTTTGCCGTTATCTTGGACCATATTTGCAAAGTTACGATGTGTAACTTTATGGTACGTGTGATTTGTGATGCCAGGGTTTTCATGATACTGAAACAAACAAGATGCTGCTGAAGAAGAATAATGGGAGTATCAAGCGCGTGGTCATGGATCTGATTGCTGGGGAGAAGATTGAGTAAATATTAGCAACCAGACTGTATATATATATATATTATCTATTATGCTGTTATAAATAAATGGCTGGACCTTGGTTTATATAGCCTCTGGCAATGGTATGATTGTGCCCAGTTGAAACTGGTTATCCTATGACGCTGTTTATGCAACTGTTATTTAAGTCTCTTTTATAGATTTTATGCCTCATATTTTCTAGGATATTATTAGTTCTTTATATTGCAATCTGCTGTTTTGAAGTTCCTTTGAAAATTTTTATTCATAATAATAATCATAATTTGTATTTTAAATTATGGTAATAGAACTGAACAAACAAAAAAGGAGATAGAAAATGTTTTGAATCATATCACAATATCAATGAAACAAGTTGTGCAGTAAGATGAAAATGGAATTTTCTATTTCCAATCTGCCCTCAAATTTATGTTAGGCATTGTATCACTATCATTATGGTAAATGATGAAATTATTCCAGACACGCAAAATTATTGGAAGTGACTAAATAAAAGTATCAGATTCATGCATGAATGACCAAAGGAAGGAAATATCTCGAAAGCATAGATGCATTCTACACATCTATAAATTAACCTCTGCACACATTTCAGCAAAGGCAAGGTTCAGCACGGGCAAATTCAATAATTATATATATATATACATAATATAACAAAAATAAGAAAAAAAAGATGCTCAGAAACAATGAGCTCAACAGTAGCAGCTATTCCAGTCAGGGTCCAAGATCACCCATGGATGATTATCTCGAACGCATCACAAGAATGCAACGAACGCCTACCGAAATCACTGATTACCCTCACTTCCCAAATGTGCACGAAATCTTCTTAAACAACCCAACACATGCTGGCAACCAAAAGGGCCAAAACCCAAAGCCGTCCAAGAAAGTTCACATTGTCGAACAGGAAAAGGACACTGAAGCTCGTAAACACGGAAACATCGAAGTCATTCAAGGTAGGACTATTGATTTTCAGGCGGATGGGTTCATAAAGTGGAATCACAAGAATTTTGCATTGTGCAAATGGGATACTTTTAAGGGTTAGAATAGTCTGAGATCATGTGTTACTGGCAGATGAAGAGGGTCTAAAAAACATTTGCTTAAATTTTAAGCTATGCTTGACAAAGAAAATAAACAAACGACCTGTAGTCTGTGTCTATAGGTTGTGAAAGTACTTGATATGTTGCTTTTGTATTTTTCTAGTACTGCTGGTGAAAATCAGACAAATCTCATTTCTGGCCACATTCTTGGTTTTACACAGTTTTTTCGTCTAACAGCTCGAATTTCAGGTGATTTGCAATAGTATTCAAGTTTTAAGTGACAGTTCTGAGAATAAGAAATGTCAATGTCAGACTTAAGGTTTAATGCTCTGTTGCTCGACAAATCTTAATAGCTTCAACGAAAAGGTCAGTCAGTGATTGCAACAAACATAGTCATCAATCATCATAATTCATATGAAACCACAGTTTACCTCTGATCTTCATTTAAATTCAGAAAAAAAAATAACAACATTCATGCCACTCAATCTTCATTTAAATCCCTTTTTCGAAACCACAGTTTACCCTGATCTGAAACCTAAAGACTAAATTTCCTGAATAATAAGTTATAACAGATAATCCTATATTGGTCAAAACTATCACTTATGAGATGTCACAAGCAAGCTAAGATGAATGAAGCCTAAATTTCTTTTAGGTTGAAGATTGGCTTATTCCACACAAGATTAGATAAAATAAAAGTTTGGGAAGCTTTTCACCAAATAAAAAAAAAAAAAAGGTTATCTTGATATAATTTGAACATATTGCCTTTGGCAAAACAATGGCCTGATTAGCATATGAAATTTGATCCACCTGAACTGAATGCCACAAGCTGTTCAAGTTATGCAAAATGAGAATCTCAATTGCCCCAAGTGATGAAATATTTATATTTCAAACAACAATTACCAGTGGAAGAAAAACAAAACAATCAAGACAAATACAGATATAACATATGTTCTATTCCAAACGGCATCAGCATAAAACCTTCCAACTCAGACTAACATCAGCACACTGCAGGAGGCACATCCCATTTATTTTCCAAATAAATAAGCTGTGACAAATTACTCTAGCAATAAAATGAAGCAATTGAAAGCTTAACAGAGTAAATTTTCTCGCAACGACATTCTTAAGTTAAACCAAATCTGCTTATCCATGACAATACGTAACCTCAAAACCTTCACATATACAATAATCAGCAGCAACACCCATAATCAAATTCTAGAAAGAAAACATATCAGTCAAACATTCCAAAAAAAATGAAGCTTTCTTTAAGAAACATAGCCATCCTTACCATTCACCATCCGTTTTACTCGATAATGGACTGAATGACACCGGCACCCACCGTCTTCCCGCCTTCCCTGATAGCGAACCTCATTCCCTGCTCGCAAGCAATGGGCATTATAAGCTCAACTTCCATCTTCACCCGGTCGCCCGGCATGACCATCTTCGACTCTTCATCCTTGTCGTTCTTGATCGTGATCACTTTCCCGGTCACATCGGTTGTTCTCATGTAAAACTGAGGCCTGTAGCCTGCGAAAAACGGGGAGTGCCTACCACCCTCTTCCTTTTTCAGCACGTAAACAATAGCCGAGAACTTCCTGTGAGGTGTGATGGTCCCGGGCTTGGCTAGAACCATACCCCTCTCGATATCAACCTTCTGAATACCTCTCAGCAATAAACCAACATTGTCCCCAGCCAATGCCTCGTCGAGGGTTTTCTGAAACATTTCAACACCAGTAACAGTTGTGTTCCTGGTCTCACGCAAACCCACAAGATCAATCGTTTCGCCAATCCTAACGGTCCCTCTCTCTACCCTCCCGGTGGCCACTGTCCCACGGCCGGTGATCGAAAACACGTCTTCCACTGCCATGAGGAAGGGCAAATCTGTCTGCCTCTGAGGGATAGGGATGTAATTATCCACCTCATCCATCAACTGGTAGATTTTGTCCACCCACTCATTTTCTCCCCTCTTAATCCCGGGGTTTGCAGTTAGAGCTTCAAGGGCGAGCAAGGCAGAGCCGGAAACAATGGGGACGTCGTCACCGGGGAATTCATACGAGGAAAGCAATTCTCGGACCTCTAATTCCACCAACTGGAGCAACTCTTCGTCATCGACCTGGTCTTGCTTGTTCAGGAAGACCACCATATTGGGGACACCGACCTGCTTAGCCAACAAAATGTGTTCTTTGGTCTGCGGCATGGGGCCGTCGGCGCCGGAGACCACCAGAATCGCGCCGTCCATCTGGGCAGCGCCGGTAATCATGTTCTTGACGTAGTCGGCGTGCCCGGGGCAGTCCACGTGGGCATAGTGCCGGTTCTCGGTCTCGTACTCGACGGTGGCGGTGTTGATTGTGATGCCGCGGGCCCGCTCCTCCGGGGCGGCGTCGATCTCGTCGTACTTTTTGGGGGCAGAGTTGCCGAGGGAGGCGAGAGCCATGGTGAGGGCGGCAGTGAGGGTGGTCTTACCGTGGTCGACGTGCCCGATGGTGCCGATGTTGACGTGGGGCTTCTTCCGCTCGAACTTGCCGCGGGCGGCGCGGACGGTGAGGGAGCGGCGGCGGAGGAGAGAGAGAGGAGCGGCGGCGGAGGGGCGGAGGAAGAGGGTGGTCGACGAGTGGGTGAAGGCGGAGGGCAGAAATATTTTGGTGGGTTTTAGAGGAGCGTGGTTGGGGAGGGAAGGGTTGGAGGGGTGTGTGGGTTTGACAAAAGATATGGCGGCGGCGAGAGAGGCCATGACGGATGGCGGTGTGTGTGTGTGTGTGTGTGTTTTGGTATCTTAAGGAAGGAGGAAGAAAGGAGGACCTCTCATCAATTGTGAGTTCTATCCGATTGCTCTCTAGGCGGCCCGGCCAGGATAACACTATATTGCTGCTAGGGTGTATGGGGTTTCTGTGCAACCGCTCTCATATTCGGACGCGTGGCAGGATATGTATCGCTACTTGCTTTTCGTTCTTTTTTTCCTATTCACTAGTACGTATACCGTCGATGCACGTGATAAACATATTAAATAATTTATTTTCACATGTTTGTTCATTTTTTTCACATCTTTTAATCATCGTTGTTTTGGTCAGAATATTAACTATGAACATGTTAGAACTAGCTTGTAAAATAATTTATATATTATTTCACTAACACATTTATATTAATATAAATTTTATTTTAGTATATATATATATATATATATATATTCATTGATATAAGAGAAAATAACGATTTTATTTTTTCTTATTCACTATATGATAACTAATTATTATTTTATTATAAATTTTATTGTCATATAATGTTATTATAAAAGTTATAAAAGTTGTACGTCTTCTTTTTATTTCTATTTTATGTAATGAAAAATATTACTTCACGTTAGTATTTTTTATTTATGTAATCAATTTAAAATATGTAAATAAATTTAAAAT